GATGGTGTCTAGCTGTTGGGACAGCAAGGTGGGAATAAAGAAGTTCCCTGTGTTTCCTCATTGCTTATGGTGCTTGGTGAGATGTTTAGGATTAGTTAAACTTCACCTTTGTTAACTCCCTGCGTAAAAGCAAGGATGTGTTGTGCAGGGTGCTGGAGGCTGGTCTGGTCGTTGGAAGAGTCCTGAGCAGAGAGGGGATGGTCATGATGTAGAGGGTACAAAGTGGCAGATTTCAACCCTGCTGTTAAACTGATGCTTATGTCCCACCCCATCATTTGACACCCGGTGAAGCTGTAGCTGATAGATGCTGTGAAAGGACTGTAGTGTTGATCTAAAAACCTAGCTGTGTGCAGAGGTTACATCAGGGTTATAAATATAGTTCATCTCAGCATGTTCCTTTAACCTTTGATTAAACACTGGGGGCTTTTTCCCTTACATTTGAGAGGACTGCAAAGGAAAAGCAGCAAAGTGAGGAGAGGATATTGAAAAGAGCCCTCCAGCCCGGCTGGGTCCTGCGCTTTCTCTCTCTAATCTCTTCCGTTGGGTTGTTTTATCTTATCAAGGAAAAAGCCCCAGAAATAGAAAGTTTTCCATGGCTAACAGGGGAGGCTGGAGATGCACAAGCTCTGAGCTCTGTGTTGCCTCATTGCTCCAAAAGAAAGAAAGAAAGAAAGAAATGCATCAAAGGGCAGCAGGTTCTAAACGGACCATGGCAGCGGTTTATCTCCGTTGGAGGAAAGGCCTCTTGCAGAAGCAGGCATAACCTTGTGCTGATGCACGTTGCGTCTCAGCTCTGCGTGTCTGGGAAGCTCTCAATCTCCCCTCCCAAAGGATGACAGACGGGAAAGCGGGAGCAGCCGCTTGCTTTGGGCTTGTGACCAAGAGAATTCGCAAACTCTTCCAGCATTTTCCCAAGTCAAAGCCTTGGTCTGAGGGACTCTGGTTGCTGAGGAGGCCGAGCAGGGAGGTTTTGCTGGTTAGAGGTAGGTGGTGGTGTAGATCCGTGTTTGGGTGTGTTTGCTGGCTGTATATTGCGTGCTAAGGAGGTGTAAGGGGGTTCCCGTGGTGCTGCCCTGCCCGTGCTGCAGCGCATGGCTGGGGCTGCGCATCCACACGGGCTCCAGCTACTGCCCAGCTCCTCCTGCAGCCCTGCTACCGCAGGAGTGCTGTGGTGGGGCACAGCCTGGGGCACCAGTGCCACTGGAAAGGAAAATGTGCCTTTTAGTAAAGGACAGCTCAAAAGCATCTGCCTGGGTTTGCTCTCCAGATCCTGCAGTGGTGCAGGGACCTCTCCGAGGGGTGGTTGTCACCAAGGGGGTCTTGCTGCTCTGAACAATCAGGAGAACACCCTTGGGTGTCTGTTTGCAGACAAATGAAACCCAAACCACTGCGTTTTCAGACAAGTGAAACAGAAACCATCACATTTAGCCCTAAAACTGCTCAATCCTCCAGTGGTGGAGCTGTGGACTCAAGGCAGAGATGGGGCTGGATCGTTGCCATGGGGGATGTCAGATAGTGCCTTGCAGGGAAACTCTGACCCTTGGCTATGTGAATGCTGAAGCTGGTGGTGATGCTGCAGGTCCTGCCCTGTCCCTGGCAGCAGGAGACACCACCAGCTCTCGTGATGTGCAGGGCCACATCCTGCAGCCGTGCCTGAGGTTACCCCCGTGACGTCCCTTTGTGCGAGGGCACGGGCACCGAGCCCAGCCCTGTCGTAAGCAGCACAACTTGCACAATCAAACCTCACTGTTTAAAGGGGTGTGTGAGCTGCTGGAGGCTTCCAGGGTCCAGAGGGAAACGGAAGAAATCTCTGTTCTTCCACATTGTCCACTTCCAGCACCCGGACACCTGCAGGGTCTCGCGCTGCTTCCAAAGCTCATGATGTTCTCTTTTGCTGTCTTTGGTGGCTCTGAGCCTTCCCGTGGTGTCTGGGTCACGCTTCCAAGGGGTTTCCTTCACTTTGCTGATGTTGGGTGCATTTCTGATTTGCTTTTTAAGATTATTCTGAAGTTATTCATTTAATGAAAGGTGGGATCTGGAACAAACTGGAGCTTTAAGGTAACTCCTGTGACTTCATGCTTCACTTTACCGTCACACAAGGGGTTTGATTGCCTGTTTGAAGCATGCCCTCTGCCAATGCTCCTCGTCAGCCCTGTGTGTGCCAGGGCTGGCAGCCCAGGGAAAGGGGAACCAGGGGGTGCTTTCACCAGGGCCCAGCACCACTGCAGGGACCACAAGCTTTGGCCAGAAACTGGTGTTTAGGAGCATCCCAGCGAAGGTGTTGGGGCACTTTATTCCCTTTCCATCCTAATTCTAGGGGCAGCTGCATCCAGTTTCCCATTGCCCCCCATACTGTGTTGCTTTGGGGTCACAGGAGGTTTTGCCTTAGGTGAAAGCCTGGCTGGGGTCAGGTTCTTGGAGCCTCTGTTGTCACTGGGGCCAGGATCTGGCTGTCTGCCATAGAGCAGCACCTTCTCCTTTGTCTCCCTTTCCTACGGACCTGGGGCTTGTATGTGGGTCACGCTGAAAGATGCCCCATAGCACCTGTGGTATTTTGGGGGTGGGAGTGGGCAGGATGACTGCAGCCCTATGTTTAGGTGCCTGGATGGGCATCTACATTGAACTGTTTGACTTTATCGAACCTCATTCCCCTGAGAAACATTTTATCTGTGGAAAAAGGGAAATTCCTGTCTGCCACCGAAGTTTTTCAGTCTCTGAGCTGACGCGTGACTTATTGTGTGTACTTATTCCGGCTGCAGAGACCCCGTTTCCAAGCGTTACCCTGTTGGACTCGAAGGGAAATTATCTCGAAGCCGAAGCGGAGGCGTCCTGCTCCTCTTGGCAAACCCGTCACGTGGCTGCTGCCTAAAGCTGCGCTGGGCTTCTAAAATTAGTATTCCTGGCCGGATACGGAGCGATTAGAGCTGTTAATAGGTGATGGTGACTAAGGACGTGCCATACTTGAGTCCTGTAAAGAAATGCCTGGCCATGACAGGGCTGGTGCTTGGGAACTGTCATTGCTGTGCTCTGTGGTAGGTATTTCAGGCGCTGTGTGTCCCCTTCTGAGATCGCTGACTGGTTTGGGGTGAAGCCCCTGTGTCCAACCTGGCCTTGAACACTGCCAGGGATGGGGCAGCCACAGCTTCTCTGGGCACCCTGTGCCAGCGCCTCAGCACCCTCACAGGGAAGAGCTTCTGCCCAAGAGCTCATCTCAGTCTCCCCTCTGGCAGGTTCAAGCCATTCCCCTTGTCCTGTCCCTCCATCCCTTGTCCAAAGCCCCTCTCCAGGTTTCCTGGAGCCCCTTTAGGCACTGGAGCTGCTCTAAGGTGTCCCCTTCAGGAGCCTTCTCTTCTCCAGCTGCCCCAGCCCAGCTCTCTCAGCCTGGCTCCAGAGCAGAGCTGCTCCAGCCCTCGCAGCAGCTCCGGGGCCTCCTCTGGACTCGCTCCAGTAGCTCCACGTCCCTCTTGTGCTGTTGTCCCAGAGCTGGGTGCAGGATGAGGGGTCTCCCCAGAGCAGGGAAGGAGATGCTTGAGCCCACCCCAGCAGGATGAGTTCCTGGGGAGCAGGAGGCCGCTGCCTAAACCTTGGGCTAAACATGCAGAAGGGACTTTCTGCTGGTGCCAGATGCTCAGGTGAACCTGCAACTGGAGCATCCTCGAATTGGCACCTCCAGCAAAGACTTGGCGAGTGTCCCCCATTAAAAGCTCTTCCAGTTGCTCAAAAGGTCACGCATTAAATTACCATGTAACTGTGCAGCTTATCTCTAATTAAAGAGAAAAATAAGGCAAGCCTCCCTGCTTTCCCTCAGGCTTCCTTGGGACAACTGACTTGGAATAGGAGGATGATGGACAGCTCATGCCAGATGAATGTGAAATGATAAATGATTTCCCTGTTTCCCCTGGAGATCAGTGTTTCCCCCCTCAGGCTCCAGCTCCCAGCAGTGGTTCAGCTCCTCTCCTTCATTCTGGGGCATTCAGCAGAGCTGAGCAGAAATTGCTGTTTTCAGAGCAAACATGGGAGATTCCGTTGCTTTCCTGCAAGCCCCAGATATTCAAACCCAATGACCCAAATGCTAAAGAAAGAGAAAAGAGAAAGGTTTATAGAATCCAAATGGCTCGGAGCGGTGTGGCAGGGACGGGCACTCAGTCCCGTGTCCTGTGCACTGAACTCTTCTGCCTTCGTTTTAGGAGATGTATTGATTTTCAGGTTGGTGACCTGGTTCTGGAATTTTGGGTCGTGTAGAAGGTAAATTTCATGCTGTTTGTTCAACAGTTAAAATGTAAACGGATCAGAAGGGCTGTTAAAGTGGAAGGAGGTTCTTGGCTCTGGAGGCATCCAGGCTTTGAGGGGAAGGGTTGGGGAGCAACAGCCATGAACATGTGGTGGCTGTTGGGTCTGGTGGATGGGGCTGGCTGTGCCATACGCAGCCGTGGGCTGGGGGTGAGAAGGACCCTGTGACTAAAGAGGTTAAACCTGGGCTCTGCAGAGTGGTCTGTGCAATTCCAACCTTGAGCTAGTTAATGTCTTACAGGATGGGTCCAAAGAAAACACGCTCCAGAAGTGCCTCCCTGCGCCTGGGCAGCGTGTGTGTGCTGGGGATGGGAGGTCACAGCCCTCGATGTGTCTGTACCCTCTCCAGGGGTGGCCTTTGGGCAGTCTGGTGGTAGAGCTATGCCTCGGCCACTTGAAGCGTTCGTATTTAGTGACCTTAAACAATTTGACCTCTGTCTGATACAAAGATGTGTTTCCCTCCTGATGTTAGGAAGTAAAACATCCTTTCCTTGTGAAGCGGCCGAGCTTCTGCTGCAAGCTCTGTGCTGGTGCCATCTCCATGAACCATTGCTGGGCAGTGGTGCACCCCGTGGTTTGGTGGGACTTGAGCATCTTCTGTGTTGTGTGTGTCTGTGTGCCAGCAGACCAGGGGAAGGGAAGCTGCCCGTGCTGCGGCATTGCAGCAGGAAACACAGGTTTCCCTGGGGAGGGGTTTTGCTCTGGATGAGGTGTTCTGGTACCTCACTCCATCCCCAGGAGCGTGCCTGAATGGGGCCATGTGCCTGGCTGGAGTTCTGACCGAACCAGCACCCACAAGCATCGGTCTTCCCGAGGCAGGAGCCTGGTCCCTCCCTGGGGTTCCCCCACTGCTCCTCGGTGGCAGTCGCAGGTCTCGGCACCTCAGTGTCTCATTTCTCTCCCATGCAGACTGCAGGTACACGTGCCACCAGGAATGCGTCAGCCCCATTCCGCTGGCTCGCCGCCGGCCCAGCCAGTGCCAGAGCCAGCTCTCACCCGAGAGCACCCTCCTGCCGCCCTGCACCCAGGTACGTGGGGACGGGGCTCCGCAGCCTCATGGTGACCAATGGCGTCTTCTCTCAGACCGGGCTTCTTGCTCCAGAAGGGTTTTCAAGGGGGGAGGTCTGCTCAGAGGGCTCAGCCCGTGGGTTCTGCAGCCCCAGGCAGCGCTCGCTGATCACTTGCCCATGTCCTGTGTACATCTTGCCCCTCTGCCCCGCCTGGATTTTATAAGGAGCTTAATGGCCTTGTTTGGGGAGTTTTAGATATCCCAGGGGATCAAGACACTTCCATCTGTATTAGGGATGTGTAGTAATCTTAGCTGTTTGCTTAACCCCCACCCTGAGGGTCCCATGGTGTCTGTGATGCTGAACTGGGCTGCATCCCGACGTGGGTATCTGCTGGAACGACTGTATGATGCCACACAGGTTGGGATGTAAGACACTTAATGCTGGAAGCTTAAAGCATTGCTTAGAAACCCTCCTGCAGTGGATTTGACTTGCAAAGAGCCTTTTCAATCTCTATATGCTGCTTTTGTTTAACTGTATTCTCTCCTTCATTATAACTGTGCATTTATATTCCTCTTTGTGGAGGATGTTGATGCTCTTGTGATGAGATGGAAATGTGTGCTTTGTCAAGGAAGATGCAGGGTTTCTGTTGTAGGTTTGGTTGTTTGTGCTTTGCTGTGTGAGGGCTGCAGAGCTTGGCCTCACTGGCATGCGACTGCGCAGTTGCTGCTCAAACAGTGGTCAGGATCCATCTAACATGAAGTCAGATGGGATTTCTCTGAAGTTATGCATTGCAAAGGGACTCCGAATGGATTCTCCACTGAGCCTTGAGGTATTTGTACAAGGGTGTGAAGCCAGAGTTGTGCTGACATCTCCTTCTGATGTTGTTTGGCTTCCCTCAGCAGCATGAGAATAGCTTGATTTTATAGGAAAATCAGAGGAGCTTGTTTCTTCTTCAGGGCGATAACGGAGCCGGGGGTTATTGATAACAAACACAGAGGCTGTACTTTGCGGCAGTTCATCACGCTGACACGTCTCTGCTGTGATCCCGGGAAGGGGGGAGGCATTTTGTGCCAAGGAAACAAAAGTCTCTGCACTTACAGCAGCAAAGAGAAATCCACAAACCCGTCCTGGTCCTGGTCCTGGTCAGGGCTTGCAGCTCTGAACCCCCCTGGACAGCAAAGTGCTCCCTGGGGTCTTGTACCTGTGCTAGGAACGGCTGCAGGGCTGGGAGTTTGGGAGGAGTGTGGGCTGGTTTGAGGGTGAATGAGGGTAAATCGCTGTGATAAAGCTCTGTTCTTGTTTGTGGATAATGGATAATCAGGGAAAAAGCATCCTCAAGTTTCACAGAATCCCAGCCTGGTTTGTGTTGGAAGGGACCTTAAAGCTCCTCCAGCTCCAACCCCTGCCCCGGGCAGGGACACCTTCCACTAGAGCAGGTTGCTCCAAGCCCCTGTGTCCAACCTGGCCTTGAACACTGCCAGGGATGGGGCAGCCACAGCTTCTCTGGGCACCCTGTGCCAGCGCCTCAGCACCCTCACAGGGAAGAGCTTCTGCCTCAGAGCTCATCTCAATCTCCCCTCAAGTAAATCAAATCTACTTGTCTGACCCATAAAGCAGCTTATGCACCCGTGTTCCTGGTGGGTTTCTGTTGGCCAGGCAGGTATTGCTGCTTGGAAGAAGGAGGATGGGTGGAAAACAGTGTCTGTATTCCAGGGTGCCTGAATATGCTGGTGGTAGGAAAGGGGATTGCACACTGAAAACACAAATTAATAGCTGGCATAGTTGGAAGTCATTAAATAGTATTATCAATTGTAAGCAAACTAGGAACATCAGAGAAACAGCGACTTTAATATCATGTAGTTAAGTACTGTTAACATGTAATACTAACCATTAATAATGTGGGCTTTGATCCAGCAAAGTACTTAAGAGTACATTACGTTTGGGTCCCAGATTAGCCTCCCTGGGTCAAATCCAGACTTGTCTGAAGCTGACAGAAGCTTCTGCTGGTCTTGGCAGCACCAGTTTGGTGCATCTCCCATGTGTGAACTGGTGGGTAGGTTCTCTGGGGGCTGTTGTGCCCATAACCATGAACAGGGGCTGCTCAACCAAGGGGTCCACATCACTTTGGGATTTATTTGCTTGTTTGGCTTTTTACAGAGCTGGTGTCCCAAGCAGCTGGGTCACAATGGAGAAGTGAGGGCTCTCTGGATAAGCCCATGGAGCAGTGCAGTGGGAGTGCATCCAGCTTCGCATGGGGCACTGCAAAGCTGCCTGCAGCCCATTTCCATTGTGAAATGCTCAGGGCTGAGGCTTCAGTGCCTGTGCCATTCATCAGCCCAGTGCTCACTTTCTTCTTGTGTGGCATATGCTCAGTTTAAGCCTCTTTAAAAAAATCTAAATAAGAGTCTGTGAAGCCAAGAAGGTGTGTGCCACTGCAGAAGCACATGTGCTGCTAAGAGGAGAGCTTATTTATTTGCCATTTGGATTCTTGCCTTCCTCTTTAAGATGCAGATGTTGCATCCTCCCGCCAGTCTTTATGTTGGCATCCTGGTTTGTATTCATGGGATGCTGCTGGTGGTGAGGTAGGGAGCTGTCACAGCCTTGTAGCAAGTCCTTTAGCAAGCAGACACAGATGGAAGGGTATGAAACCCTTGGTATTTTCCCAGAGAAGTTGTGGCTGCCCTGTCCCTGGAAGTGTTCAAGGCAGAAGAGCTTCTGTCTCAGAGCTCATCTCAGTCTCCCCTCTGGCAGGTTAAAGCCATTCCCCCTTCTCCTGTCCTTACATGCCTCGTCAAAAGCCCTTCTCCAGCTTTCTTGTTGGCCCCTTTAGGTACTGGAAGCTGCTCTAAGACAGCATAGGATGGATTTGCTCAATGGCACGGTGCTCCCAGGCCTTGTTCCATCTTCCTTTTCTGAAGTACAGTGGAGAACTGTCGGCATGTGCATTAATACCACATTACCTAAGCAGAGACCTTTTGAACACAGTGTGCCAGGCTTTTCTTTACACCCCTTCAACCTGCTCATGAATAAGCACCAGATAGGGAGAGCCTGTGCTGGGATGTGCTGCATCCCCATGGATGCTCGGCCCCTTGCGGAGCCCCCACCGAGGGAGGATGAGAGGAGCAGAACCCTGCTCCTTCCTGGCTCCAGAAATGCCTGTGATCTTCAGCAAGGAGGAAGGTCAGAGCTGCTTTAAAAGCTGCTGGGTAAAATGCAGGGTGTGAGTGGGATGGAGGAGCTGGGGAGAGTGGGATGGAAGAGTCAGCTCTGGGGATGGGTCTGTGCATGGGGGGAGAGGGAAGCAGGGATAATGCTATTGCTCTGAAGCTCTTTCTAAGGACAACACAGCATTTTAATCGGTCTGGAGCAAGTGCTTCTTGCAAACAGGACCTGCAGCTGAACTGCTTTTTCCTGGGCTGCAACAGACACTGCCTCAGCCGGGTGCCAGCGCTGCTGAAATCACTCCTGCTGCTCTAAAATTAGCTGCGGAGTGGAGAGGAAACCTACTGCCTCCCACAGCAGGATGACCAGGGGCTCCTGGCACCCCAACGAGGGGCTTCCCTTCCCCATCGCCTTTCAGCAGCCAAGGTCCAGCCTGGACTTGCTTCACTAAGGCAGCAGCTGCAGTGCAGCTCTTGAGGATGCGCTAACAGGGAAGGAGCAAGAAGCCAGCCTGCGTGGTGCTGTAGTTTGGGTATCAAAGGAGGTGCTGGGGGCACCCAGGGGCCAGGCAGTGCCCATGGCCAAGCCCAGCGCCTCGTGCCTGGTGTGCGGCAGCGGGGTGACAGATTCTGCAAGAGGAAGTGGCCGGGCTGCGTGGTGCGAGGCGAGCGCAGGAAGGGGAGGTGATGCTGGCTGGTGAGTGAGTGCCCCGGGGGACCAGGCAGGGAGAACCTGGGTGCCCGAGAGCAGGAGCAAACTCGCAGCTCTGCCCCTTCCATGCTGCCCCAGCGCCGCTGCGCAGGGAGGCGGGTGCAGGAGGAGAGGGAAGGGTTACCCAGCACGGCTGCCTGTTAAAGAGAAATAGCTCTGCTGGCTCCGGAGGATGAGCACAAGGAGCTATTGCAGATAAGTGCCGGCGAGCTGAGGATGTGAGAGCCGGGTCCCTGCTGGTGCGGGAGCCGGAGCGGGGAGCACCGATGGTCACCAGCCCCCCGGTGAGCCCCGGGTGTGCTCGGCCTCTCGCCTCTGCCCGGCTTCGATGGCCATCGGCCGGAGGCGGAGCAGCGGGG